CCCCCCCCACCCTGCCCTTCAATCATGTTCGCACCCCAGGATGCCAGGGTTAATGATGCACGCCTCGGGTACGGATGATGGGGGAGGGGGTGGAGGGTATTGTAAACTTCTATATGTATTAATATCTAAGCAAGAATATAAGTTTATTGAAATTTCCAGCGCTCTGACTCTGGACGCATATTTGATCGTTATCTAGACTCTACCCCTTGAACCAACCCCTTGTATAGACTATAGAATATAAACATTCCAGGACGAAGAGATAAAGGGGTTCCATAGTACACTCAAGGTTTGGGGAGTAGGAGAGAGTTAAATGATTTATAGCTGGACTCTGGAGTAGGAGAGTTAAATGCAGATTTATAGCTAGACTCTAGAGTTGGAGTGTTAAATTCAGATTTATAGCTAGACTCTAGAGTAGGAGAGTTAAATACAGATTTAAAACTAGACTCTGGAGTCGGAGAGTTAAATACAGATTTATAGCTAGGCTCTAGAGTAGGAGAGTTAAATACAGATTTATAGCCAGACTCTAGAGTACGAGAGAGTTAAATACAAATTTATAGCTAGAATCTGGAGTAGGAGAGTTAAATACAGATTTAAAGCTAGACTCTGGAGTTGGAGAGGGTTAAATACAGATGTATAGCTAGACTCTGGAGTAGGAGAGTTAAATACAGATGTATAGCTAGACTCTGGAGTAGGAGAAAGTTAAATACAGATGTATAGCTAGACTCTGGAGTAGGAGAGAGTAAAATTCAGATTTATAGCTAGACTCTGGAGTAGGAGAGTTAAATACAGATTTATAGCTAGACTCTGGAGTAGGAGAGTTAAATTCAGATTTATAGCTAGACTCTAGAGTAGGAGAAAGTTAAATACAGATGTAAAGCTAGACTCTGGAGTCGGAGAGAGTAAAATTCAGATTTATAGCTAGACTCTGGAGTAGGAGAGTTAAATACAGATTTATAGCTAGACTCTGGAGTAGGAGAGTCAAATACAGATTTAAAGCTAGACTCTGGAGTCAGAGAGAGTAAAATACAGATTTATAGCTAGACTCTGGAGTAGGAGAGAGTTAAATACATATGTATAGCTAGACTCTGGAATAGGAGTGAGTTAAATACAGATGTATAGCTAGACTCTAGAGTAGGAGATAGTTAAATACATATGTATAGCTAAACTCTGGAGTAGGAGAGAGTTAAATACAAGTTTATAGCTAGACTCTGGAGTAGGAGAGATTAAAGAAAGGAATAGAGGAAATAGAGAAGTGCAAGGAGAGATTAAAGAAAGGAATAGAAGAAATAGAGAAGTGCAAAAAATAAGAGATTCAGATAAAATCGTAAGATAAAGAGAATAGATAGATAAATGGAATGGAAACAGTCCAAAGATGAAAAAAGATAAATCCTTAGGACGGAAAGAAATGGTAAACAATGAACAATTTGTTTTTTNTCTTAAACCCATTTCCCCAACTCCTCACTTCAAGTAAACGCTTATAACACTTAACTCCCCCCTCCTCCTCCTCCAAGCATCTCATTCCAACCCGCATGCATTTTATCATAAACACAAAAGAAAATCTGTATTCTTGTGAAAAAAAACGTTCGCGAAAACCTGCAAAAAGTGAGAAAAAAATTGGAATCAGAAAAGTTGTGAACAAATAAACAAAAAACACACAAAAATCGTAAATTAAACATAAATGCGGAAAACATACAACATTTAAATAAAACATAAAAAACGCATTTGTAAATACGAATACGTCAGTCGTCACCAACCCAATAAACTATTAAGCAATCATTCAGTGTTCAGTGAACAAAGATACCCTGAACAGACTGATAAAAGTGTTCATGTAAACAGTAAAATGGTGTACATGGGTACATTGTACACACCAAATAAGTTGTACCCGTGAGCAGTAAAATTATGTACATAGGTCTGGTACATTGAACACCCCAATAAAATATATGTAAAAAGCGAATGGTGTACAACTGTAAAAAGATACATTCAACGTACGAATAAAAGTTTTTACATGTAAATAGAAAATGTTGTACAACTGTACATAGTAAGATTGAACTAGCCAATATTGTACATGTAAAGAATTAAATGGTGTACATAAATACATTGAACACACATGTCAAAAGTTAAATGGTGTACATCGGTACATTAAACACACCAATAACAAATGTAAAATTGAACACACCAATACACCAATAAAAGAGTGTACATGAAAACAATGAAACGGTGTACATAGGAAAGGGAGTTTGAAGGCGAGGAGAAAGATACAAACTTACTTCCAAAACATTCTATAGATATATCTCTAATATTATCTGAGCTCTCGTCCTCTTTGAAAACTGAATCTAGGATTTTATTTTGTTAGTTAAAAACTAAATATTTCTTCTATTTAATATTAATCAAAACTATTTCACAAATTATGAATCATGTTCTGTCTCAAAAGCATGAATCATGCAGGCATATATCAGGGTGGTTTTCAACACCCCTGGATAACAACAGGGTGTTTTAAACACCCATGGAAAACATAAGGGTGTTTTTAACACACGTGGAAAACAAAAGGGCGGTTTAGAAAAACCCTGGGTAACAACAGGGGGTAGTTATTGAACAACCCTAGGAAAATATAAGGTATTTTAAAAAACAACCCTAGAACACAACAGGGTGTTTTTGAAAACCCAAATTAAATAATTTAAAATCTTACCGTCCTCCGTGACCTCTGACTCAAGATCATCCTCTGTTAGAACTGAATCCTCGTTTCCGTACTCCTGGACATCATCAGGTTCACTCGAGATATACTTCTCATACACCACACCCAACCCGTCCACTGGGAAGATATCCTCGTGGAAGATGATGAAGTTCTTGATGAGCTCGTTAACGAGGTTCTGGTACTGGACCTGGTCCCGGTCCGTGGGTATAGGGACTAGGGTGGGACCAAAGCAAATGGCAAGATTATACGGATCCATCATATTCTCATCACTACAACAATAAGGTTCTATTAATCTAATGAGCTAGGTTTCACACTCAAACAAAACCCGTACTCCCCTATCTGCTGACAGGTACATGATTAAACTTAATACAACTTCATAATAAGAATAAACTCATCACTCATCCCCCCCCCCCTAGAATCTTGTATACTCCAGTGGACCACCCTTAACTAGCAATTTTATTTGAAAAAACTACCAATTTATTTTATTTTCTACAAGTATTTTACTTTTTACTCTACTCATGGGCAGTTTTCTCTCTCCATTTTTCAAACATTTTCTTAATTAGTTAAGTCAAATAGTTAGGAAGTTTCATAAATATTATGATTTTACGCTGTAAAATACAATTAAAGCAAAATATAAAATAATGTAATTAAAGAAAAATATTACAAAATGTAATCAAAGAAAAATATCACATAATATGTAATAAGTCATAATCTGCTCTTTACAGAAACCGACATCTTGCCAAAACCAAACCAGACATTAAAACATAAAACAGCAAGACATGAAATTTTTAATGACTGTAAAAATCATTTTAAATAGTTTTAAAAATGCTCTTGCGATGCTTAGAACAGTTCAACCATATTCTAAAAATTATGCGTATATTTTTATATATATACTAAGCTAGTCTGTCTGTTTATTTCAATGTTTGTTTGTTTCCAATAAACGTAAAAACGGCTGAAGTTAACGAGCCCAAAATCTTTGAGGCAACACAATTGACCCCCAGGGGATGGTTTATGGCCGAAGTTGAACAGTTTTGTTTGGAAAAAATGTCGAAATTTATTATCTTTAAAAATTCACCCGTTTTAATAGAGAAATCCTCTAAAATTTGAAAACTTTTTAAAATGTATATCTAACCTGTATTCTGAGAGATGGTTTAAGAATGCAAAAATATATCGCATCACAACGAATATTGTTCGTGGCCAGGTTTTAACTAGATCGCGCACCTTCAACACGAACTCGTGTTTAGACTCCAATTCTAGAAAATAAAATATACAATTATTTCTCATTTTCTCATCGCCATCTTGAAATTTAAAGCTTTTAAACAAAACAGTCAACAAGAAGCATTGTTAAAGTGAAACTAAACGTGTTTTAAAAACGGCAAAATTAAAACGCCCTAAATTATTTGGCATACGATTGGGGGTGGGGGTTAGAGAACTGCATATAAAAAACCTTTAAGTATTAACTATATTAGACTAATTATAGACTTCTAGTACTAAAATTAGTTTCGTGATTATTTTTAGTGAAAATCTTACAGCCTTCAGGTTAATAAGATTTTATCTTAATTAGGCTTTTATAGAAATTCACACTTTGATTAAAATTAAAATCAGTTTAAATAATTTCTAGAAACAAGAAACAATGCCTCGCCCCCCCTCCTCTCCCCTCTGTAAGCTAGTAATAAAACTTGTTTTTAAGCTCTCCCGGCGATTTAAAAATGTGTTTTTATTGTAATTACTGAGCCAAGGAAAACAAACAAAATGCATAAATTTCCGAGAAACTGGTCGCGAAACAAGGATTATTAGGATAAGATGGGAAAAAAGGATAGTTAAGACAGGATGGGAAACAAGGAAAGTTGAGACAGGATGGGAAACAAGGATAGTTATGACAGGATGGGAAACAAGGATAGTTGAGACAGGATGGGAAACAAGGAAAGTAGAGACAGGATGGGAAACAAGGATAGTTAAGACAGGATGGGAAACAAGGAAAGTTGAGACAGGATGGGAAACAAGGAGAGTTGAGACAGGATGGGAAAACCCCGGTTTGAAGTTTTTTAACCCTTTTACCTCTTATTGCGATCTTTATAAAGTTAAAATCTATCAGTTGTTTATCATGATTTCTAGATTAGTAGGAGTGCTTAGTATTGAGCAAAATTTTGAGGTAATTTTAAAACATTCAAAGATTTTAGCTTTTCCGTATATCCTCGGTCAAAGCAATTAAAATTAAAATAAAAATTCATAGATTTTTGTGGAGCCCTTTCAATTACCACAAAATTAAAAAAAAACGTTTTTTTTGGCCCAATTCTAAGAATGATTTTAGGTGAAAACGTTAGTTTGAAAAAGGGTGAACCTAAAGCACTGAATAAATCACTGCTAGGGTGCAACGAAAAGCTATATTGGGAAAATCCCCGAAAATTACTAAAGCACACATTTTTTTACTTTTATCTTTACTACTGTGATGTCGGATTGGATGAGATCCTAAAATGTGGAATTCTGTTAAAATATTTCAGTAACATAAAACCTTTATGAAAAATATTATTCTCAAATAAAAGATGTAAGATGTAAAATATTAAAGAAGAATGGCAGCTCTGTTCAAAATATTGTTTATGAACGGATGCAGGCTAGTCAAAACATTCTTCCAGGGGTTAATATATATTTTATCTAGAAATCTATTTAAAAAATATCTTCATAGGTTTAGAGATGACGAAATAGCTCTGCTTGCTTGCAAATATCATGTTCTGTCTGCATTTAAAGCAGGCTAAATAGTTTACTAAACAAACTTCATGTATTAAAGGGACAGTAAGCGTAATTTCAAGTAACTCTCCATGCAAAGATTGCAATACCCGATTTACAACGGTACCCGTGAAAGTCTGATCAAGGAATTAGATATTCATGTTTTTTTTTTCACTGTTTAGTTTAATTTGTGGTTTCTCAACAAAAGTGGCAAGCGCATTTCTTGCTTATAAGAAGCAATGGAGACATTATTATAAGAATCAAAAAACTTTTCGAGTCAGAAAAACGACGTTATCTTCCACATTTTAGATCAAATTTATATTTCCAAGGTACCGTTGAAAATCGGACATTGCATGGAGGGTCACTTGAAATTACGCTTACAGTCCCTTTAATCTAATTACTTTTTCAATGAAGTTGACAGTAAGAGTATTCATAATGTATACAATAGTTTATCAAAAGGCAGAAATTTACCAAATATGATGAATTTAAAAGAACTCCAAGCAATAATTTTAATTTTTGAATGTTATCTCTAATATTTCAAGGATTCAAGTTTGATGCTGTGCATTTATCAATAATGATATTGTCAATCTTTTCATAACTTTTACCCGTCTCATGATTAAACAATAATACAAGATAAACAAGTAAAAGTCAGGGGGTCAAGGTTTACTTACGTGAAAGCTCCATAAACTGATCAAAATACTGGACAGAGAATATAGGTTCCCGGAGCTCCCGGAGATAGAGTTTAAGAACTCCGCAGACGGAATTAATATCACTAGCATCGGTAACATCTGCCAGGGGATCCTCACCCCGCTCAAATGCTTCTCTGAAGTTGTTAATCTCGACCTGGAAAAATTATTCTTTTTAGACCGGACCGATTTTGAAGCGTTACCAGGTATTTGCCCTTTGTTTGACCATATCAGTTTATAGGATTTTTTTCTTCATAATATTATATTTTCGCATAAGAACACGTGCTTAAGTTAAACAACACAAGGGCGCAGAAATGCATTCAATTTAATTTGAAAAAGATGAATAATATTGAGAAGAAAATATTTAAATGAGAAGAATGAAAGAATGAATGAAACAAATTATACTTTGAATTAAAACGCACATTGCATTTACATATTTATTTTAAAGCCTGACATACATTTTAATATTTTGATATATTTTCTAATAAATATTTCAACGTATAAAAAGTTGTGAACATGTGTTGTGTCGTGTGTGTTGAATGAAATAGAATAAAAAGAAGAAGATAAATGTCCTAATATAGTATTCGAACACAGACCCATTAATATACAACGTCTGAAGAAAATGAATTAATATTTAGAAAACTAATTGATAATTTAACCATTTAAGGGACATCCTTTAATAAATCCTAACAATAAACATAATTAACCTGTAAATAAAAATATTTAAAATATCTTTGGGATGGGGTGGGGTAGTTAATATATAAATTTTGTTCTGAGGAGCCTAAAACTTTAAATATATGTATCTGGGAACCTTAAACATTACATATGTGTATCTAGGAGCCTGAAACTTTAAATATATGTACCTGTGAGCCTGAAACTCTAAATATCCCCTGATGGTGTAGTCCATACAGATTTATCATTCTTATACAGCTCTTAACAACCAGAGGTATATCTTCCTTTGTAGACTCAAGGTACTCCTCCAGACTTCCGCCGAACAGCTTAGGCTGGCCGGCCATTGTTCGGCCGATTCTTCGGCGGGAGCTGGCAATGGGGCGGGGTAGGGTGGCGGTCGGTCCCGCACTGTTCTTATCGCCGAGGCATTTTCTGATGTGGTCATACTTAGCCTGTAGCCTGGAGATACGGTTACTGTTCAGAATGTATTCGCGAAATTTTGCCAGGTAAAACTGTTCAGTTTCTTGGCGGTCAACTTTCTGTTTAGTGTTCAAGGTGTCAGATTCACGCTCTTTTCTAGACGCTTCATCCTCCACAAAATATCTAGAAAATATTTTTCAAAATTTATTTGAAAATTTCTGCCAAATTCAAAAGAAGAAATACATGTTAAGAAGCCAAAAACCACAAACAAATATTTTGTATTGTTAAAGAAATAATTTTACTTCAAAGAACAATATCTGAAAATAAGAGAAGGGCGGCGGAGGGATATTAGGATAGGTTATGTATCTAAGAGATTCTCTTTCTCAGGATTGTATCTGGTTTAGTTATCAATAAATCAACCTGGTTGTATCAAAATCATTGCATGAAACCATCTCAAGGAGGGTCTTCTCCGCCGCCTCAAGACTCTTCCAAATCTCTTCTGACTCCGCCCTGAGGCTACCCAACCTCTCCGCCAATTTCCGCTTCCTGGACTCCAACTCCTCCGCCACCGGTTTATGTATCTGCTCCGTCTCGTCCCGGCGGACAGGCTGATATTCAAACTTTTTGGGGATCATGAAAGCCTGATCGTTCTTCTCCAAGAAGTACTTCTTGTCCCTCCTGGAGTCAAGGGAACCCAGAACCTTGTTCATCGCGTCAATATCCTGCTGTAATGATTTCCGAACCTGAAAACAAACAAAAAATAAAAAAAACCATTCAATACAAATTTAACTAAAGAGATAAAAGAAGAGAAAGAGAAAATAGTGAAAACAAATATCGTGTAGAAACTAATAAAACCGAACAAACCCCCCAGTTTGCACTATTATGGCTACAGGCTTTATTACTCAGACTTAATTAGGAGTGCAATAATTCAAACATGAGCAGTGCACACTACCAGGGTACATTAGTTTTTAGAAGAATCAAGGGGCTTTAGAGTAAAAAAAAAGTATTCAGTGAACAAGAGTTATTTAGAGTAGAAACAAAGGGTTTTAGAGTAAAAACGTTATTAGAGTAAACAAGAGTTTCAGAGTAGAAAAGAGTTTTTAAGAGCATACAAGAGTTTTTAGAGTTAACGAGAGATTTCAGAGTAAACAAGAGTTTTTAGAGTAAACAAGAGTTTTTAGAGAAAACAAGAGTTTTCAGCGTAAACATAAGGGGTATAGTGTAAAAAAGATTTTTCAGGGAAAACAAGATTTTTAAGAATAAACAAGAGCTCTTAGAATAAAAAAGAGCTTTTAGAATAAAAAAGATTTTAGAATAAACAAGAGTTTTTAGAAAATAAACAAGAGTTTTTAGAATAAATAAGAGTTTTTAGAATAAACAAGAGCTTTGAAAATAAACAAGATTTCTTAGAATAAACAAGAGTTTTAGAGTAAATAAAAGTTTTCGGAGTAAAAAAGTATTAAAAAAAAACAAGATTTTTAGCGGAGAAAAGAGTTCTTGAGAAAAAAGGAGTTTAAAGAGAACAAAATAATTTTGAATTAGCAAAAGTTTTAAAAAAGACGATTTAAAAATAGATTAAAAACAAGAGTATAGTAATGGATTTTAGAGAGAAAAAGAGTTTTGAGGAAAATTATGTTCCTTTCCTCTAGGTCGGTTGAGGAGGTTCCAAGATATCAAGTTGAGAAAAATAAACAAAGACCATAATGTTTAAACTACATGTAATTTAATATCAAATAAACATGTATTGGCTAAACCATAATAATAAATGGATTTTAATTACAAAACCTTAGACAAAGGTTTTCAAACTAAAAGTATGATAAATTTTCCCTTGTTCAAATTTGCCAGGACTAGGCGATAAAACCTATTAGATTTGATAGCATGATAACGTGTCTAGAAACAGTATTAGATTGGTTGTAAAAATCGACAGGATATAATTTGAAACTAAGTCGAGAAGAAAAATGAAAAATGAATTTTATTCAAGGAAAAACTCTCCTACTTTTAAGTTTGGGTGACTAGTGCAAAGGTCTCTATTTTTAAGTTTGGGTGACTGGTGCAAAGGTCTCTATTTTTAAGTTTGGGTGATTAGTGCTAAGGTCTCTATTTTTAAGTTTGGGTGACTAATGCAAAGGTCTCTATTTTTAAGATTGTAAATTATAGTTCATGGTCATAGTAAGTAGTAGAATACCCCACCTCCAGCTATATGTTAGATTACCTAGATAAACTTTAACATAGGACAATAGATCTAGAGCTGGGGGTAGGGGAGGGGGGGGGGGTTGAAGGATGGAAGAAGGGAGCAGAAGGAAATCAGAAAAGAAAAATCTGCCAAAACTTCAAGAAATAATAATCTCCTAAGTTGAATGAACTGTTAAGATTAAAGGTTCAAGTCCTTCCCTTCTTTGACACCACCCAAAAATCAGCACATGCATAATTGAATTTGCATACTCAAATTGTGCAATAAATTGCACACGTCTGGAAAATCTGGGTATCTTCAATGCAAAATGCAGACGCTAATCTAATTCAGGAAAGTTCAAACCATTGAGGTTTCTTTTAAAATGGTTTAGATTTAAACTCGATTCCATGATCAAAAGTTAAAACAAACAAAATCGAGGACTTGAGTTTTGGCCACAAACTCTGATTATCTAATCTTTGCAACATGTCGTAGATCTTAGACATTTTAAACTCTGTGAGATCTAATAATAATCTAATAAGTTTAATATATCAAATTAAAAAATGCTGGGAATCAACTCTTTGTTTTACTAGAAAAATGTCAGACCAAACAGACCGAAAATACAATGTCACTTTTAAGCCAGAGCAATCAATTGGAACTTGCATCCCCTGAGATTTATTTATATTGCTTACTTGTTCCATTGCTGATGAGCGCATCATCATTGCTCTTCCCAAGGACTGATGGAATCCAAAGTCCATGCAGTCCATCAAGTCTGATAAATCGTCGACGAAATATTTATGAATTGACGCATTTGCTGCGTCCATACAGAGGAGGTATTCATTTCTCGCCTTAGTTGCTTTTAACCTTGATTCTGTATATTTACTGGTTCTCTTCGCAACCTCCTTCTCTATCACTTTATATTTACGATTCTTCTCCAGTTTCTCTTTCGGTATCTGTTCCTTGATCTTAGTCCGTTGTTTCTCTACAACCTGGAGTTTAGATTCAGCCTGCCTGAACTCTGACTGGTAGGTGTGATGGGTTTTCATAGCTGTGTGCAGCTCATGAAGAACTTTCAAAACTTCTTCATGGATCTCAAATCCGATTTCACGACACTGAAAATAAAAATAGATAAAATTTTATATTTTTATTTCTTATTTTGTTCTTGCTTTTTAGCAGAGATCTTATAGATCAGTATAGTTTAATCTTCTTCAGTGTTTCTTCTTGAAATTTTCTTCAGACATATACTATTTTCATGTTTGTTTACATTTATATCTAATGTCTGTGTCCATGTCCATGTCTTTGTCCTTTTCTTGTCCATGTCCATGTCCACGTTAATGTCAATGTCAATGTCAATGAAAATGTCAATGTCAATGTTTATCTTTTCTAGGGTTTAAGTTTTCCATTTGTTTATGTAAGTTAATGTTTGTTTATGTTTTTGTTTGTTAGTGTTTGTTTTTGTTGATATCTACGTTTGTTTTTATTTTGTTGACGAATGCACCTAATTTGAATGAATTATAAATGATGCTGATACTTCACCTAGAAAAATACATACACATAGTAGATCACAAAATTATATGTATTATATAAATATTAGATAGTTTTGAGATATGATGAATCTAAGTATGGTTTAAAATTATACAATTCCGGTCAAATATTCTAATTGAGTCTCAATATCCCAGTATTATGTGCGAGAATAGGCAATGATGCCAAGAGGGATGAATAAGTCCCGGTCATTTTTAAATCAAGGATATCATAGACCTGGTGTACAATTTGCACTGTAGATATATATTGCTGAAGGCAGTTGATTTAAATTGCATATTTTCCTTCATCACCATATTGACAAGCAGAATGACACCGGAAAAGAATTCTGTCGACCGAAATTTAAGCGAACCTAAACCTAAACCGCTACATGTGCGATTAACAAAGGTACCCCCTTAGCTCTTTATCGTAAAATCAATGGGAAAGATATTTTCAGCATTAATCACCCCTTTAAAGATAGAATTGAGGACCGCAATTGAAAAATATCAATTTTGAATGTTTACATAAAAAAGGAAAACTTGATATTTTTGCTCAGATCTGAAGGGTACCGTTTGGAATCGGCCATGCAAGCAACTATTCTAATTATGGGTCACTTGAACCTTGGATACGGTTAAATGTCAAAATATGAATATCTGCAGCTGATAAACTTAAATACAATGGATAAATTCATTTAGAGTCAGACCACTTTTAACTTTGATATCTTTCTATTGTCCGGGTGTATCAAATTAAAATGTCACTTAATTTTAGTGAAATCTTGTTAGCGTTCGATTAGAACACATTTTAAGCTTTAGAGGGGGGGGGGTTATGCTGTTACACCCCCCCCCACACCTCCANTGTGATCTACTAACCTACTATCTACCAATGAAATATAGTTGTGATCTATTAACCTACTATCTACCAATGAAATATAGTTGTGATCTATTAACCTACTATCTACCAATAAAATAAAGTTTCGATAGATTACAAAAAAACATGAAAAATATTAATTCAGCTGTGAGCATGTCAAGTTTTTGCATTATTTTCTTATTTCTTTTACTCATCTTAATTTACTCCAAACATATACTAGTCGAAAAGGCTGATATTCTTTTTAAGAAAGGGTTTCAGAATGAATAAGCATGTGTTACAATAACTCCCCCCTGTAGTTGGATACATGTGCGATATTCCCTGTTTTTAAAACTGTCTAAGTCCCCCCGCTTTTCAGTTACATGTTGAGTTACATAGTCATAAAATAATATTTGTGCACAGTGTCAGTGTGATCTATAGTTAGTGTTTATTCTAATATAACATCTTTTTCTTCAAGCTGGAACATGGAGATACATGAAAGCGATAGATATGACAGCCAAGGCGGAATCAACAAACATGACGGATTTAACTACAAAGGCGGATTCACAGCCAAATCTGATTCAACAGTCACTGGTGGTTTTTACACAAGGCGGATTGAACGATTCCACTGACCAATGCGGATTTAACAGCCAAGACGGATTTAACACCCAAGACGGATTTAACAGCCAAAGCGGATTTAACAGTCAAAGCGAATTTAACAGCCAAGACGGATTCTACTGTCATGGTTGTTTTTAACAGCCAAGGCGGATTCAACAGCCAAGTCGGATTCAACAAACAAGGCGGATACAACAGGCAAGGCGGATTTGGCAAGGCGGATTCAACAGGCAAGGCGGATTCAACAGCCAAGGTGAATTCAACAACAAAAGCAGATTAAACAGTCAAGGCGGATTCAACTACCAAGAAGCGGATTTAACAACAAAGAAAGATTAAACAGTCAAGGCGGATTCAACTATACCAAGAAGTGGATTTAACAGCAAAGGCATAATAAACAGTCAAGGCGGATTCAACTACCAAGGCGACTTTAACAACCAAAAGGCGGATTTAAGAACAAAAATGCGGCTTCAACAACTAAGGCTAGTGATGTGAAAACATCTTTTTAGTCATGTAGTTTAGAAGAGAAACCTAGAACCGTGAAATCGTCTATGTATAGAAACATCCGAACAATTCTGATGATTCTCATATTTGGGATGAAAACATTTAGCTGAACGATCTTACACAATCGTCAAATCTTTAACTCCAACAGGTTTGAGTGTTACATTTCAGATTTGACAAGATAACTTTAGGTTGAGATGTTTTGGTTCAAACCTGAAACTAAAATATACAGAAAAAGCTAGAAATGATTTGTGGTTTGATCTTAACTCCCCCCCCCCTGCATTCATTGCAAGGTTTCTGGGTTAGATTGGATAATTCGTATATTGTATGTTTTCCATGCAAGATTTCAACAGAAATTTTACTTTTACGATCCTGGGGATCAAATAGAACAAAAACTAGAGACAACAGAGCACCATGGTTCTGTAAGAACTAATACATGGATGGAGGGGGGGGGAGATGTTACCATTTATGGTTTACGAAGGACTTTGATATTAAAATTCCACAGTTCGAGATAATGATCAAGGTAGGTTTAATGATCAAATTGAAACAGCTCTTGCAGGGTTTATTTATCCAAGCATCCTGGTATCCTTGGTACCAACCAGAGAAATTGTATTCCAGGATTGCGTAATGAATATACAATACGAGAACGTGAGAGATAAGGATAAATAAATAGAATAAAGTGTGGCAAACTCATTACGTAGGGTAGACTATGCACACTTCTCATGGTAGTGTTAGAGGTAGGGTAATTCAGGATAGGTTTAGTAGTAGGGTAGTTTTCCTCGGGGTAGGTTTAGGAGTAGGGTACTATTACTCAGGGTAGGTTTAGGAGTAGGTTACTATTACTCAGGATAGGTTTAGGGGTAGGGTATTATTCCACAGGATAAGTTTAGGAGTAGGGTATTTTTCTTCAGGGCAGGTTTGGGAGTAGGGTACTATTACTCAGGGTAGGTTTAGGAGTAGGATATTTTTCCTCAGGGCAGGTTTAGGAGTAGGTTACTATTACTCAGGGTAGGTTTAGGAGTAGGGTATTTTTCCTCAGGGCAGGTTTAGGAGTAGGGTACTATTACTCAGGGCAGGTTTAGGAGTAGGGTATTAATCCTCAGGATAGGTTTAGGAGTAGGGTATTTTTCCTCAGAGCAGGTTTAGGAGTAGAGTATTATTCCTCAGGATAGGTTTAGGAGTAGGGTATTATTACTCAGGGTAGGTTTAGGAGTAGGGTATTATTACTCAGGATAGGTTTAGGAGTAGGGTATTATTACTCAGGATAGGTTTCCCCCCCCATCCTTATAAGTATCAAACCNAGGGGTAGGGTATTATTACTCAAAGTAGGTTCAGGAGTAGGGTATTATTCCTCAGGGCAGGTTTAGTAGTGGGGGTACTCAGGGTAGGTTCAGGAGTAGGGTATTATTCCTCAGGATAGGTTTAGGAGTAGGGTATTATTACTCAGGGCAGGTTTAGGAGTAGGGTATTATTACTCAGGATAGGTTTAGGAGTAGGGTATTATTCCTCAGGCTAGGTTTAGGAGTAGGGTATTATTACTCAGGGCAGGTTTAGGAGTAGGGTATTAATCCTCAGGCCCAGGGTAGGGTGAGGAGAATATTAAGAGTTAGGTTATTCTCAAGGTAAGTTGCTCAGGTTAGGTTTAGGAGGAGGTTATAATCAGGATAGGTTAATGAGTAGGTTATACACAAAGTTAAATATGCTTAGTGATAATTATAATTATATATCAAGTATTGAACGAGAAGTTGAGGAAAAGTAGAGGAAAAGTACTAAAGTTTAACTAGGATAAAGTTTTGTAATTGTTGAAATATGTTGTATGTGTATATTTTAACAAACTCATTGAAGTTAGATTAAACCTGACATTGTAGAATAAAGATATGCCTTGGAGGTTGGTTAGATGACCCAGGCTTCAAACATTAATATATTAAACTCGCAGACAAATATTTAAATGAAAAACAGTCGTTTTGACGTTTATTGGAACCAACCGGACAGACAAATAGACATACAAGCAAGGTGTACATATGGAACATTTTTATTTTTAAAAAATTTGAATCTAAGTGCTGTACTGCGTTATAACTTAGTGGTGATATATCATGTTAATTAGAGGTTTTAAAACAATTCAGACCATATTTTTATGATAATTGGTCTCTAGGTGCCATGACTAAGGGAGCAAGACAGACACCAAGTGCCAAAGATTAAACAAAAATCATATTTGTAGCATTTTCAGCATCTATGAATTCTTAAATAAACATTTTATGTCGGAGTTAAATGTGTTTTTTATTCGTGTAAAAACGACAAACAACCCAAGCCCTAAAATATGCCGAACTTCAGGCCTTTTTACTGCCTAATTCAAATTTACTGTATGTGTAAAGCATGAAATATACTAGCAATGAAATAACAGTATAATTAGAACTAGAAAACATATCAAGTATCAACTATAACTGCGTGTACACAATACAATATTTCAAGTGCAAAGTTGAACAAGGAAAATTAAACCAAAGGTTGGAGGAAAGAGAGGAAGTTACAGAGAAATACATAAAAGGTTAAACTATAGATATTTCAAAGTAAGAATTCTGTTTGATTAAAGATTTACACCATCAGGTGGAAAAGATATATGGTTTAGTAAATTTTAAATTTAAAAGGAGAACTAAAAGGAAAGTAGAAAACAATGGATAGGATTAGAGAACGTAGAATAGAGAAGAAGGGTTGGAATTTAAATTGAAAGCAGAAAGAAAAAGAAGAGAAGTGATGGGGAGAAAAGGAAACAGAAAGAACAGAACGGATATAATGAGAGGAAAGTGAAAGGAAGAGATATTCCTGTAAGAAATGTGAACGGAAAACCTGTAGTTAAGATGGATGATCTGGGATGAGGCTTAGTCTGGAAGTATGAGTAATTAACTACAAAAAATAATGAGAACTGAGTATGAAAGTTACAAATACTGGAGAATGCAAATGATAATTATAGTGAGAAAATATAGAAAAACAGGAGAAGGGTAAGAACAGGTCAACATTTTTATCCTTGGCATATCTCAAGCCTTCGTAACAATTATAAAATGTAGAGGATTTTCCTGGTCTTTTTGAACCATTTTTAAAGGAAACTGAGTTCTTGTCCCGAAATCAGATTTTCTAATCTCTACATCTATGTAACCCAATGTGGTAGATCTTTTTAACTATGAATTCTGTCAGATCAAATAATGTTTAAAATATCAAAGATTACACCATCAGGTTGTAAAGATTTAAGTTTAGAACATTTTAGTTTGTGGAAAAAACTCAATTCCTTAACAGCCGTTTTGACGTTTATTGGATACAAACAAACAGACAAACACCCAAACAAACAAACAGAGAAGCCAAATTTATTTATAGAAGACAATTTTCCCCAGAACCGTGCGGAGATTATGCACCAGAATGCAATAAAATAGATGGGCACCAAAACTACTTATGGGACTTGAACGAGAGGGGGGAGGNGGAGGGGGGGGGTAGAGGCAGGGGACATATGTTTTCATTTAAATATGTCCAACAAAAACTTCAGGATTTGTACAAAGTAAGTGGATTGGCTGCAGTCGGAGATACTTTCTCATGAGAAATATCTTTTAATTATCCAAAATGCAGTTTGTCCAGTTTCTCTGTCTACAAATTGTCTAGTTTTTCGTCTTCTCCGAAATAATCATCTAGTCATCTTTTTTATTAAACATCAACCGATCTCCATGTCCTTTCTATACAGCTTGACTTTTAAGCATCTAAAGCGGAAGTGAAAAAGTATCCGACCTAACCCAAACTATACTATCAAACCTACAACTTAAAACTAATCATATGCCAGAATGATAAAATCGTAACCTTCATTCTTTATTAACAATATTCATATTTACTTAAATGTAATTGCGTAAATAAACTGAACGATTTGTCTGAACCGCGGGAGAGGATATAAAATAAAAGCAATATTTTAACATGAAATTTTCCATTAACATCATAGCATTTCCCTTTCTTATTTACTGCTTTCTATTAAGCCCTGAATTACTCAGGGGGGACTGATAATGAGACCAGGTGCTTTGTTTTATACTGAACACTTATCCAAGAATTTTTCATTCACATTTAATATACTAGGCTTCTATTTCAACTTTTAATTGTGGCTCTATCTTCGTTTTGTACACTATAAAACAATAAAAAAAGTTCGCGGATTTAATAACGATTTTACGTGCATTTTCTAAATTTAACAAAAATCGAAAACTTTCAAGAGACAAATTTTTGTAATTATGAGCATTCAAAAACCTTCCCTGGGGTCATGTGAGGTCCCACACAAAATGTGGGCCCGATCAGTCCAGTCGTTTTGACGTTTATTGGAACCAACCGGACAGACAAATAGACATACAAGCAAGGTGTACATATGGAACATTTTTATTTTTAAAAAATTTGAATCTAAGTGCTGTACTGCGTTATAACTTAGTGGTGATATATCATGTTAATTAGAGGTTTTAAAACAATTCAGACCATATTTTTATGATAATTGGTCTCTAGGTGCCATGACTAAGGGAGCAAGACAGACACCAAGTGCCAAAGATTAAACAAAAATCATATTTGTAGCATTTTCAGCATCTATGAATTCTTAAATAAACATTTTATGTCGGAGTTAAATG